ACATCACACGAAGAAGTCGGATACGGGTGATTATGATGAGTTGTAGTTTGAAAAATTTATCTTATCGCGCTGTCTAGAAGGTGGCGAGTTGAATTTATAAATTCATTCAAATCATGACTATATCGTTATGTTAATGTAAAAATCATGTAATTTTAGTATATACCTACAACATGTTTATTAGGTCATTAACAAATTGAAATATCAAAGCCACCATTTTCAGTCTGTTTTGCCGCATTTTCTATTTAAATAAAAATTTTACTAGTTTCATTGGGCAACCCTGTTAATAAAATCTCTATGTCAACAAATAAAGAGGGGTTTAATAGTACGCCCCGAGGGATGCGTTTGTTTTTAATAAAAGTTTTTATTTAACTATAATATGAACAGTATACCAACTCGCAAAACAATTATGTATTTCATACAATAAATTCAATGTTTAAACAGTAATTGATCATTGTACACTGTAGATAAATAATATTAAGGTGTGTATTTAGTACCTGCTGTATGCACATTAATGGCTTATAGCCATGTTCTAGTTTTCAGGATATCGAAAGAACTAGTGTTAATCGGCACAATAACTTTAGCAAAGTTTAGCATAGACCAGAAGCAAACCTATCTGATAGCTGTTTTTAAGACCCTTTATTATTGTTTCGTACGTATGTCTGTATTTTAATACCTATATACCTATCTATATTTGAATGTAATATATCCTAATTTAATCCATAAATACAAACCCCTGAATTTCTCGCCAGATCTTCTCAGTGGGTCGCGATTTCGATCCACCGGTAGATACAACTTATATACGATACGATATACTTAGTCTGGCCATAAATACTGTTATAATTAAAAATAAACAAAATATTACATTTGAATTTGGAATCTGTGATTTTTATATGATTGTTAATTGATTTTTCTCATTTTGGCGCCAATACATTGTACAATATTTTGCGATATTAAAATGGAATGGGGTGATAAAGAGAACCGAATCGCTGTGATTGCATTACACAAAGTAGGTATGGAGCCAAATGCAATTTTTAAAACTCTCCATACGCTTGGTATTAGTAAAATGTTTGTGTACCGGGCTATTAATAGGTGCAATGAGACCTCCTCTGTTTGTGACAGAAAAAGATCTGGCCGTCCACGTAGTGTTCGTACGAAAAAGGTGGTCAAAGCAGTAAGGGAAAGAATTCGAAGAAATCCTGTCCGAAAGCAAAAGATTTTATCTCGGGAGATGAAAATAGCACCTAGAATCATGTCGCGTATTTTAAAAGTTGACTTAGGACTGGCAGCCTATAAGAGACGTACTGGTCATTTCTTAACTGATAATTTAAAAGAGAATAGGGTGGTAAAATCGAAACAACTACTGAAGCGGTACGCAAAGGGAGGTCATAGAAAATTTTTGTTTACGGATGAGAAAATTTTTACAATTGAGCAACATTTTAACAAACGAAATGACCGTATTTATGCTCAAAGCTCTAAGGAAGCTTCCCAATTAGTCGACAGAGTGCAACGTGGGCACTATCCGACTTCAGTGATGGTTTGGTGAAGTATTAGCTATGAAGGAGTGACTGGGCCATACTTTTGTGAAAAAGGTATCAAAACATCGGCACAAGTGTATCAAGATACTATTCTTGAGAAGGTAGTGAAGCCCCTTAACAACACCATGTTCAATAATCATGGATGGTCCTTCCAGCAAGACTCGGCGCCAGGTCATAAAGCTCGGTCTACGCAGTTTTAGTTGGAAACGAACGTTTCGGACTTCATCAGAGCTGAAGACTGGCCGTCGTCTAGTCCCGATCTTAATCCCCTGGATTATGATTTATGGTCAGTTTTAGAGAGTACGGCTTGCTCTAAACGCCATGATAATTTGGAGTCCCTAGAACAATCCGTACGATTGGCAGTGAAAATTTTTCCCATGGAAAGAGTGCGTATTTCTATTGATTTTGGCCTCAACGTTTAAAGGACTGTATTGCAGCCAATGGAGACCACTTCGAATAAGCTTTTTATACTTTAAATTGTTTTATATTTATATATTAAACTAACACACTGTAAAAGTAATAAATGTTATTTGCCATAGTATTTTTTTTGTTTTCCTTTGTAACAGTATTTATGGCCAGACTAAGTATATACGATAGGCCCTTAGGCTACCAGCGATAGGTGAAAAAAAAAACAAATATAAGGTCTGAGAAAACTAGAAAGTAGTAGGGCGCAGCTTTTTTTTATTGCCTAGATGGATGGACGAGCTCACAGCCCACCTGGGGTTAAGTGGTAACTGGAGCCCATAGACATCTACAACGTAAATGTGCCACCCACCTGAGATATAAGTTCTAAGTCTCAGTATAGTCACAACGGCTGCACCACCCTTCAAACCGAAACGCATTACTGCTTCACGGCAGAAATAGGCAGGGCGGTGGTACCTACCCGTGCGGACTTAAAAGGTCCTACCACCAGTAATTACGCAAATTATAATTTTGCGGGTTTGATTTTTATTACACGATGTTATTCCTTCACCGTGGAAGTCAGTCGTGAACATTTGTTGAGTACGTATTTCATTAGAAAAATTGGTACCCGCCTGAGATTCGAACATCGGTGAAACGCTCAATACGAATGCACCGGGCGTCTTATCATTTAGGCCACGACGACCTTCAAAAGTTATACCAATCCCTGGGTAGCTGAAATAGCCTTCGAAAGCTAGCCATTAGGTAAGGGAAAAAAATCCTTGAATTGAATCTTTGAACATTTTAAGGCATCCGACTAACTTGAAATTTTGCGCACTCATCAAGATCCAATGACAATAGAAAATTTTTATATTTCATTCTAATATCCTGACCTGAATTAATGGGTGCCGCATGAACTGAACGATCGCCAGCACAACGAAAGCCTTAAGGTATACGAAGGCATTTTGAACCGAATTATCAGTAGGAATGAAAACAAAAAATTTTTTTTTTACATTAACACCTTCTATCTGTCACCAAGATCATAAACAGGTGAGTTGCGAAAGGTCTTGAAGGGACAGAGCCAATGCTCCGTCTCGCCTTAGTAGGAGAGTACGCCAGCTCCCTTGAGTCTTCTAATAGGATTTGGCTGCAAGAGCATACCGCACAACGGGTTTGGGTGAGCTTTATCAAGCGGTTCTTCTTCTAGTTGTCCGAATATCGTTGAACTTCATCCATTATGGTTGGAATTTCCGAATTTCGAGTATACCAAGGCATCGACGAGAATACCCTCAGGATACTGTTTTGAGCTCTCTGGAGGCACTTATTTCTTGATTTGCTGACTGACGACCACAGTTGGACTCCATACGTCCAGATCGGTTTTATTATTGACCAATACACCATTAACTTGTTGGATAAGGCAGACCGTCCAGCGTGAAGCCAGAATAGGTTTCTAAATCGAAGATTATTTTTGTTACGCCTCGTTTTTATGTGGTCTTTCCATGTCACCCTTTGGTCCAGGTGAAATCCAAGATACTTAACACAGGTTGATTGCGGTAATGTGTCGTGGCTGAGTTTGCAACAGTCTGGTCACTTCATTAGGATTACTGCTACAACTGAAGAAGGCTGCATCATCGGCAAAGGTTGCTACAGCTGTTTCTGGTGACTGAGGTAGATCACTAGTAAAATATTGTAGAGGACCGGACCAAGGCTTCGTGCCTTGGGGCACTCCGGCTCTGCAGACAAAAAAAGAAGATCTGCGATCTGCGAAGAAAAATCGGATTCTTCTTGATTAACGTAACGGTTATCATGTTGGTTAAACCCTTTGGTTCACACTTTTTTTTCCTACCTAAGCTGATGGTATTGAGAGACCATTGCAGCGTAACCGGGCAAGTAGATGAGCTCACATGGCTCAAACCTGACGTTGTTGCTAACACGAACCCTAGCAAGAGCCGTGCTTCGCAGAATCTACCACCAGATCGGAGAAATGACGTGTTTTGGGCGACGTCGATTGCTTACCATTGGGTCCATAGGATCGGGAATGTAGTTACCGGCTGGTTCACACCCAAATACACCTAATAGTGACTGTATAGTATGGTTTGTGCCGGTATAATTCATATCAGCTTCTTACCAAATGGCATCAGAATTACTGCGGATGTGTGCTGTAAGAAACTGGACACAATGGTGGGAAAGCTCGCGGAACTCCGACCGGCCTTGAATAATTTCTCGTCCCCGCTGCGTCTACGACTACGTTCGACCTCATATGGCACAACAGATGGTCCCTAAGCTTCAAGAGCTAATAGAGTTGGAATTTTGAGTCATAAGCCGTACATCATAAAACTTGCGCCGACAGACTTCTACTTTTGCTAAGGTTTGGACGTTTTGATAAGGTTTGCAGAGATGCATCGATGGTGCCATGGGTGCACTAAACAGCAACTTCATAGAAAAATATCTAATATTTATTCTTAAAAAAGTAAATGAAACCGCTATTCCATTTTCACGTTCTAAAATACCCGGTATTGAAATATCATTTGGTATACAGTAAATATTCAAGAATATCAACAACAACACCTAATTCACAAAAAATCTTATCGCTGTACATAATCAATAAGAATTATTGACTTAAGCCCTACAATCAGTATACATTACTTGTTTCCATCTTAGTTGTAGCGAAAAAAGAATTTATGTGTATTTGTCGCATGAGTTAGTTAGTAGTCGGTCTGTATTATTGTTATTAAAAGTGTTCAATTAGATTAAAATATAGTTGTACAGAGACAAGTTTTATTTGTAGTAGTGCTTATGAACGGTATGTTTTAATAGCGAAGTATAGTGCAACATGCAAATAAACATACTTTATGTAGGAAATTACTTTAACAATGCCAGAATAATTAGCATATAATTTCAACCCGCAGTGAAATGAAATTGAGGAATACAGTATTGATTTTTGTTTCAAACATCTTCGCATTTTAAATTAATGTCTACATATTTATTTTTATTGATTTAGTAATTACTAAAACGTTGTTGAATTGTCGTTTAGTTAATGAATATGAACTTGTCAACAGATATGCAATGCGGGGCCGTGTAATAGCCCTATGGTTACTACTTGGAGTATTATGCGCCGGTGGTATAACTGCCATACTGGCCTTCACCCTTAACAGAAATCCAGGATCTTCCTCAATTGATTATGACGCAGATTTCTGTCAGCCGCTCATTATCGCTCACCGTGGAGCCAGTGGCTACGTACCAGAACATACTCTCGGCGCTTACGCTCTTGCTGTTGCAATGGGCTCTGAATACATAGAACCGGATGTCGTTATGACAAAAGATGGGCATCTAATAGCGAGACATGACAATGAACTAGGATTGACTACTGATGTCGCAGAGCATCCACAATTTGCTACTAGATATCGGACGCAGTACGTCGACGGGACGTTAGTTAGAGGTTGGTTTACAGAAGACTTCACTCTTGCTGAAATCAAAATGTTGCGTGCTATAGAACGTATACCAGAAATACGCCCGGGTAACGTTAGAATGGACGGCAGCTTTGAAATCCCCACCATGCAAGAAATTATTGATCTAGCAAAAGGCATGGAAATAAGTTACGGACGACGTATTGGTATCTACCCAGAAATCAAACATTCTACCCACTTTCAACATCTGGATCTCGCTATGGAAAAACCATTAGTAGATCTACTTCACGAAAACGGATACACGGGACCTGAAGCTCCCATTTATATTCAATCGTTCGAAGTCAGTAATCTAAAAGAATTGAGTCAGATTACTGGTATCAGGTTAATACAACTGCTTGGAGGAAGAAAAACAGCCCAGCCATATGATCAGGTACAACTTGGTTCTGATCTTACATATGGCGATATGGCTACTCCTGAGGGCCTACGTGACATCGCAAGGTACGCTTATGCAGTTGGACCTGAAAAATCATATATCATACCTCGTGACGAAAATAACAGGCTAGGTCAACCAACAAGTTTTGTTCGTGATGCCCACGCAGTCAATTTAAAAGTGCACCCATACACGTTTCGTGCCGAAAATCTCTATCTGCCCGCAGAACTACAAAGCGATGATCCTTCGCCATCAGCAATCGGGAATTTCAGAGGTGAACTCAAAGCATTTCTGAGTACAGGAATAGACGGCATGTTTTCTGATCAACCTGATATCTCTGTTCAAGTTAGAGGGCCCTGCGAGTGATTTTCATTTTCTTTCCGAGGACGCCTACGTGAAAAATAATGTACATATATGACATTACCACACGTGAAGTAATTAAGTGTTAATAGATAATCCTCTTATTGTCATAAGAACACACTTATAAGTTGATAAAAGTCAAAAATGACAAATTATCTTTAATTTAAATGCCAAGGACACGTGCTTATTGTGTATACGAAAAAATGTTAAGTACTGATAATTGTTTTTATCACTCCTATCGACTCGTGCTACACGAGCAGTGAAGTACAGTGAAGATATTATTTGAGGAGGAAAAGTTCGTGACACAAATAGACTCGTGTAGCACTTACTTACTCTTATCTGTGCTCGGCGCACGAGACTGCCCGCGTGGTCGATGAAACATCTTTGATACACCAGTACGTCACACACAAAGTTTATCTCAATACACATTGTACACTTGACTATAAAATTAAGTGGTAATAAATTGTATTTTAATGTTCAATTTTTTTTCTATTGCTAAGAGTTCCAATCTAAAGTTGACACCACACAGTGGTAAACAACAGCTACAAAACTGCATACGCCCCGTCATGACCTATGCAGGTGTAGTATTGGCTGACGCGGCCCGCACTGACTTAAAATCACTGCAAGTTATTCAATCCCGTTTTTGCAGGATAGCCGTCGGAGCCCCGTGGTTCGTCAGGAACATCGACCTGCATGATGACCTAGATCTAGAGTCCATTAGTAAGTATCTACAGTTGGCATCAATACGCCACTTCGACAAAGCGGCACGACACGAAAACCCTCTCATCGTGGCCGCCGGTAACTACATTCCTGATCCTGCGGACAGAATGGAAAGCACGTCAAAAACACGTCATTTCGGATCCTCCCGATCCACTTACGGTGCCTCAAGTAGGTGCTTTATGTAACCTCAAGCACCGGTCATCGTTCTCGTCGAACCCGTCGCTTGCGACGAAGGGCTCGACGAGTAAATTAACCCACAGACACAACCCACTGAGTTTCTCGCCGGATCTTCTCAGTGGGTCGCGTTTCCGATCCGGTGGTAGATTCTGCAAAGCACGGCTCTTGCTAGGGTTTGTGTTAGCAACTTCGTCAGGTTTGAGCCCCGTGAGCTCACCTAGGTACTAGTTAAAGTTACGCTGAAATAGCCTCTCAAGGCTATCAGCTTAAGTAGGAAAAAAAAGGTAAACAACCTAACTTAGCCATACAGAAAGTATGTTATAAAATGTTTGAAATAACCTTGGGAATAATGGATACTGACTATGTAAAAATGAGTGAGCGTGAAGAAATCAAACTTTTTTTTTACGTCCTTACGGATCCCTCAGATCCATTAGACGCCTGCACTACAGCTGACACTAGGAGCAGGCTAAGGGATTCTGGTAACCGTACTCGTCGAACTCGGCAAAGAGTTGGACGTGCAACCTAACCCATCCATCAGCCCGCTGAGATTCTCACCGGATCTTCTCAGCTGGTTGCGATTCCGATTCGGTAGTACGGTAGTCACCTGTTCTGGAGAAACTTGGAAGGCCTTCGGGCCACTAGTAATCCTTCCTTCATAAAAAATAAAATAAAATAAAAACTTTGTTTTTGTTTGATCCTGTTAGCTGATGCTTTAGAAATCCCATTGTTAAATATGAATCACATGCGCGAAAGAGGAAACGAATAAAATGAATAAGCAAAGTTAGAGCTACATTACTCTGGGAAATTCCGGTCACCAGTATATACGGGGTGTCCCAGAAAGAATGGATAATCCTGAAACACCTCATAGCAGACCTATTGGGAACTCAAAAAAAAATAAAAAATTCTTAGGTAGTATCCAAATTAAAAATAAAGTAAAAATACCAAACTTCATGATTAGAATTAAAGTTCAGATTAACTTGTATAAAAAATTACACTAAAAACTACTCATACGATTTCCTGCATATTCCTTAGTATAGTCCTTGTAGAATATTATAAGACCAAAAAGCCTATGGATTTTATTTATTTGTAGCTGTTCCAGAAACGCACAGCAGTATGGAAAATATCAAGTTTTTTTTTTTAAATGCGTAATTTGGGTACTACCAGAGGTTTATTTTTGTTTTTATTTTGTGTCCCCCAATAGCTCTACTACGAGGTGCTTCAAGATTATCCATTCTTCTGGGACACCCTGTATATATTTTTGAGGGCGCCTGATCATTCCATATATTGTGCTATCTGAATAAGTAATACGAACCTATTGATTTTGTACACTAGTTTAAATGTCATATTGATAACGGCATTGAAATTTTTATTGTCACGAAGGAAAAGATACGATATAATAGAATAATTTGTTGTTTACTCAATCTTGAGAAATAAATGTGTTTTAGAAAATATACTGAGGTTGGAAATGTTTAAACCAGCATTAGCATTGTGTTTTTACGTATTATAGAATGGAAAAATTACCATAGATTTTATTCATATGTACACGAATACAACGATCACTTAAATTTAGTCGAGAGGATCCGAATGCGGCTTGGCTCTGCCCCTGGCATTGCTGACGTCCATGAGCGACGGTGACCACTTACCATCAGGTGGGCCGTATGCTCGTCTGCCTACAAACGCAATAAAAAAAAATCACGACGGGTTTATTCACACAATAAAAAAGAGGATAATAGAAGAAAAAGACACTGACACTGGTACTTCAGAGTTTGTTTTAATAGTTCTTAGTAATTTTAGTAGTAGATTAACGTTTTAATATTCTTTTTACAGTAGAAACCTCTGTGTCTATTTTAATTGAAATACTAAGTTGGAATGTTCTCATAAATTTTCTCGTGTCTAATGTTAATGAAAAACTTCTAGTAACAAAAATCTAATAGCATCTTAGTCTATCGCGAATTTATGTAAAAATAGTATTCGAATGGCCGAAAAGAATATAATTAAAATTAATAAATGCGAGATTAAGCCGTAAAAATAGTTTTGTGTCTGTAATTATTTTTTATGGCTTAGATGGGTGGACGACCTCACAGCCCACCTAGTGTTAAGTGGTTACTGGAGCCCATAGACATCCACAACGTAAATGCGCCACCCACCTTGAGATAAGTTCTAAGGTCTCAAGTTTACTGGTGGTAGGACCGTCCGCGCGGGTAGGTACCACCGCCCTGCCTATTTCTGCCGTGAAGCAGTAATGCGTTTCAGTTTGAAGGGTGGGGCAGCCGTTGTAACTATACTGAAATCTATTATATGAAGACCTAACTCAAGAGCAGCTGCTTCGCGAATGAATCTATTACCGGATCGGAATCGCGACCCGCTAAGAAGATCCGGCGAGAAACTCAGCGGGCATCTCAAAATTATGCACAGATGAGCTTCATACTGCGAAGTAGCTCGGTGTGCTTCTGCTTGTAAACTGTAAAATTGTTCTCTGCTGCCTACTATTTTTAATATTTCCTAAGTAAAGGATGAACCTAAATATGGTCATATTTAGATTATCCTTTACGTGGTTAAATGTTAAAATAAATTTCCAAGACGGGACAGGTCAATATCCCGCTAATGTAATTTTATTAATATAATTATACATCAAGTTATTGATAAATCGAGCATACGAAAAAAGAAGAAAAATAGAAGAATATCAATAGAAAGTCGCAGACAATAAATATCTAAATAATTGTAAATAGACATGCTTTAACAAAAACCGAACTCAAATAGAAAAAAAGATATTCCAAAACAAATTAATATACACTAAAAACAATAATCATCGAAATTGGTTGGCGTGATATCGTGCTAATGAGTTATTCATCTATTAGTCGCGCACGTACGTGCGTTAATGTAAATTTAAGACTTATATGGTTTTCTCATGGATACCATTATCAGAACTGGACTAAATTTAAAATGGGATAACACGGGAAGCGTCAGCTTTCTAATAAAAGAAGAATCATCAAAATCAATTTAACCAGTCAAAAATTATGAGGTGAGAAACATAAAAAACATTAGACGATGACCGAGCTTTGCTCGGCATTTACTTTTTTAATAAAGTCTGTTTTTTAGAAATTATATTTAAATACGAATTACATATCGATAAAATTATGAAATATTGCGTCTTTAAAGCAGTTAGTTGCTCTCAATTAAGAAAAATAGTATTATTATTATTTGCCATTAAATGTCGCGAAAAGTCATAAAGTTGATTATCGATAAAATTGATTATTGAAAAGACGAATAAAACAACATTTTCTGAAAATAAATCGTAGCTAGATCGATTTATCGCCCCCGAAATCCCTTGTATACAAAATTTTATGAAAATCGTTGGAGCCGTTTTCGAGATTCAGATTATATATAATATATATACAAGAATTGCTCGTTTAAAGGTATAAGATAAGATACAGTCGAACTGAGAACATCCTCCTTTTTTGAAGTCGGTTAATAAAATTTCTTTCTTTGCTCTTTAAATGAATTCTTTAAATTAATTCAGAAAACTGCATTGGTGAGTCTAAACGAAAAACTTCCTTTAATTATAGTAAATACTCATCGCTACTTTAAATGTAATTTAATAAACCTGTATTTATATGAATTACTCGTGTATATTGACATCACTTTTCCTCGTGTGCGTTTTATGCGCGACCTCGAAAAATATTTTTCCTGTCTCATACACTTTATTTAACGTCTGTACTTGTACCACTCGGATGGAGTAAATCGCGAGATATCTGTCAATCGATACCAGCTACACAGATCTGTTTAGTTTGGTGACAGTATTTTATTGTGTGTTCACTCACAGATATTTGGGTAAGTCACAAGAAAAAAAATATAAAAATTTATTGTATTATGGTTTATTAAAAATAATTATTATACTTTCACACGTTCATCAAAACGTCACAGAATTATTTGTTTGCTTTTTTATTTATTTATTATGTATAGGTACGTTTCGTATTTTGTGTATAAGGCAATTAATAGGTAATTTTAAAAATAAATCCTAGAGATACATAATAATATTATTATATTAATAATATTATTATTATGTACCTATACATAATAATATTATTATGTATAGGTACAAATAAACATTATTGAGTATATTGAATGTTAGTTAAAATTGTTTATTGTTATGAATGATTACGTTTCTTATACTTATCGCATAATGATTTTAGCCTTGGCTTTTATGCAATGTAAAAAGGTCACGGTGCTTATTACTATTAAAAAAATGCATCTCTGTGAACTTTATCATGAATTAATTATTTGTATTGTTTATCTTGTTAACATAGAAAAAAAATTGGAAATAATTTTATGTATTTATACTTGTCCATCGATACCAAATATTCAATCACATTTATTCTTTTTACATTTGAAAACGAAAATTAAAAAAAGAACCTTTTTTTCTACTTGCAACAGGTTAGCAATATGAAAATCTTCGGGCTGTTGGTGCTTTCCTTTAGCACCGTGGGGATCACTTTTGGAATTCCAGCAAATGAGAACCTTGATTTCAATTCTGAATTCTTAAACTCAGATTTCTGTTCGCCACTAATCATTGCCCACCGCGGAGCCAGCGGATATGTCCCCGAACACACCCTTGGTTCTTATGCTCTCAGTATAACCATGGGAGCTGATTACATCGAACCTGATCTGGTAATGACGAAAGACGGGGTACTTGTGGCCCGACATGACAACGAACTGAGTTTGACAACCGACGTCGCAAGTCGTATTGAATTCGCTACACGCAACCGGACTCAGACAGTGGACGGATCTGCTATCACCGGTTGGTTCACGGAAGATTTTACACTGGCCGAAATAAAAACGTTACGAGCTAGAGAACGCATACCAGATATAAGAGCTGGCAACGCACGTATGGATGGCACCTTCTCGATTCCTACGTTTCAAGAAATCATTAGTCTGGCGAAAGGTCTACAAAAAAGCCAAAAAAGAACGATTGGAATCTATCCAGAAATAAAACATAGCACACATTTTAAGAAACTAGGTCTGGCAATGGAGGAGCCTGTTGTGAACATACTCCATAAAAACGGATACCGTGACCCATCCGCACCGGTTTATATTCAATCGTTCGAAGTTACCAATTTAAAAGAACTTAAAACAAAGACCAGGCTACGTTTGTTACAACTATTCGAGAGTGATAAATCTCTACAGCCTTTCGACCAACTAGAACTGGGAACTAATCTTACGTATGGAGAAATGGCTTCACAAGAAGGCTTGAAGGAAGTCGCCAAATACGCACACGCAGCCGGTCCTGACAAAAGCTACATAATTCCCCGCGATACAGACAATCGATTAGGTGCTAAGACTACATTTGTAGACGATGCACATGAAGCAGGCCTTAAGGTCCATCCGTATACATTTCGCGCCGAGAACGCATTTCTACCAACGGAATTCCGGAGTAATGAATCAGAATCTAATAGTGGAAATTTCGAAGCTGAATTAAGAGCGTATTTGGATGCAGGGATCGATGGTCTGTTCTCAGATCAGCCGGACAGAGTGGCTCGTCTTCGAGGACCTTGTTTGAAATAGTAAGACTTGAACTGGCACCGAAATGATAATGGAAAATAAATAGTTAAATCGAGTAAGACCGCTTAGTGATTGAGGACGTTGTGAGCTCGTATAGGCAGTTACGACTACCCTGTCTATATCTGCCGCCAAGCCGTTATGCATAACAGTTTAAAGTGTGATCCCTATTCTAGATTCCAATTGTCACTTCGACTTGACATCTCAAAGCGAATAGTGGCGTTATTATTGTGAAATCAATAGGCTCTAGTAACTTCTTAACATCAGGTTCCGTAAACTCATCTACCCATTCAGAGCAATACAAACGAAGTGCTTTATAGTCAAACCAATTTCCAAAAGTAAAAAGTCTATAAACTGTTGTTACTTTAAATCTAGTTACTTGGTCCCGACTCATATTAATGTGTGCATCCTTTGATAAGATATTTTATATGTCGTGAGATAAAACAATGAGTTAGAGATAAAATCATGTAAAATGTATACAATAACTTAACGCTAAATAAAATTGTTACATAAATATATTGGTTAAAGCCAGTATGTAATGGAAACCTACCTATGGTACAATGTTGTTCATTTCTGTTTGTTTAAAGTAACCTTATAAAATAACCTTTTTTTTTTTTTGTAAATTATATTAAATGTTTACATTTTAATATTATGAAATATAATCGAGAGCAATGAAAGTGGGTCACCTAAAGAAACCTATAAATCTTGGAAACTAAAAATGCTAGCTTAATAAAATAAACGGTATTTAATAGACAATATAATACCCATTAAATGAAAGTAATAAAATATTATATAAGTCACTACATATTATTTATTAAAAATTACATAAAGAAAAAAAAACTGCTGATCTCGCCTTAAAACCAAAATAGGAAATTGTACAACAATACGATTTTCTTGAATTTTAATACTTTGTATTGCCTCCTCGTGTTTCTATTACTGCGTTTACGCGGTTTGGCATGCTGTACACCAAGTTTCTTATACGATTTTGGTAAATATCCTCCCATTCCTCTGTGTGAGCAATTTTGAGCTCACGAAGCGTGATTGGGGGAGGGTTTCGTTGTTTTACGCATCTCCCTACCTTGTCCCATGTATGCTCTAACTTTATTGTAACTATACTTGAGACCTTAGAACTTATATCTCAAGGTGGGTAGCGCATTTACGTTGCGGATGTCTATGGACTCCAGTAACCACTTAACACCAGGTGGGCTGTGAGCTCGTACAAACCCACCTAAGCAAAAAAAACACGATCGGATTGATATCCGCACTGCGTGCTGGCCACTCCATACGAGTAATGCTCGTCTCTTGTAAGTAGTCATTCACAATGAAACCTGTATGAGGTCGGGCATTATCATGCAAAAAGCATCCTCACCCAAATTGACTATAAATGGCCGAACGTGTTCAATAAAGATTTCATCCATATATATATCTTACGCTAGTTAAATAACCGTTTTCTATGAACACCAATTCTATGCGACTCTCAGACGAAACTCCCATACCTACAGACCCACCACCGTAGGCTACTTTTTCCTCTATGCATGCTTTCTTGAATCTTTTCCCCTGGTTTTCTACACACTCTGTATCTTCCATCGTGCTTGTAGAGCACAAATTTTGATTCGTCGGAGAACATAGCTTTCGACAAATATTCAATAGTCCAATTTAAATAGTTCTGAGCATATCGTAGTCTTGAAATAGGAACACCACGCTCCAGTTTACGACCATTTGCAGGTCTAAGTGGTTTCAAGTTAGCTTCAGCAAGTCGTCGTCTTACTGTCCATGCGCTTGGGATACTTCCTCTGAGGCGTCGAAACTGATTTGTTAGTTCAGTTCTTGTAAGAAAGCGATTACGAAGCATGGTGCTCACCAAGTATCGCTCATCTCGTGCTGTGGTACAGCTAGTTCTGCCTGTTCCTGGTCTACGTAAGTTAGAGTCAGTTTCCTCGTAACGTCTTCTTCTTTTTTAGTTATTGGCTCCGGCACGGTTTGTATATTAGCCAGCGTTATGTAATAAGATTTTAATAATTCGCCGTTCTAATTATTTCTAGTTTATGAATAATAAAAAACGAAGGAAACTTAATCAATTGTCATGAAATTAAATAAAATGAGATGAGATGATATGGGATGAAATATAATCTCAGTAAAATGGTGGTTATTTACTGAGACTTTTTCAGTGGACTTTTTGGAGGATCCCGAGAAGTTACGTTCAGCGGCTTTGTTTCATTTTCCCACATTTGTGCACTTTCACATATACCCACTAAACAGTTAATAAACCACCCTTATTACACATTTAAACCCGAAGAAACGCTAAATAGACATAATAAAACAAATCACACAACTTAACTCCTCGTGTTCCTTCCTTCCTGGTAACGTCGGAGAACTCTTTGTACTGTTGACACACCGACAGTCCTGGCTGTATCGCGCTGACTCCGGCCGGTTACCAGCATTGTGAGGATTCCGATGCATTCTTCAGTTGTAAGCGACATGCTTACAGGTTGCATAATAAGTATTGAACACTATCAATATGGTTTATATACCTACTTAAATGACAGATTAGAAATAAAAGCAAAATCAAATGCAGTAATTTCGTAGTTCCATTCCTTTTTTCAAATTCGATTTTTTTATAACATAACCTTGGAATAGCTAAGAAGTTTTAATACTTTAGTTTAAGGAATATTTAATTGTCTACTAAACACAATTTATTTCATTAATCTAGCTTTCTTAGTTTCCAAGACTTATAGGTTTTTTTAAGTGACCCGGATTCATTGCTCTCAAGTGTATGTTGTTTTATTTTTCGCTAAGAAACACGCGGCTCACCCGTGTCATGAACATTGTCAACAACAGGGCACTCGTAAACATTGTTTACGTTATATGATACGGAGCTACTTACATACTTACTTACAGGGTGGTGGTACCTACCCGCGCGGACTCACAAGAGGTGCTACCACCAGTAACTACGCAAATTATAATTTTGCTGGTTTGATTTTTATTACACGATGTTATTCCTTCACCGTGGAAGTCAATCGTGAACATATTTTGTTGAGTACGTATTTGATTAGAAAATTGGTACCCGCCTGCGGCATTCGAACACCGGTGCATCGCTTTATTCTTCTAAAAATGCCCACTAAAAGCCTCAGAAACTTCCTAGCATTTACTGGAACATTATGTCATGTCATTTGTTCACGTCCCATTTCTTTTCAATTAAAAAATATATTTCGGTGCCTAACGGCCAAAATTGGATAACCGCCACTTTACAAATTTTATAAGAGAGTGATTTAAAGTTAAAAATAAACGAAAAAAAATCATAATAAATTAAGTATAGCTCCCGAAAGGCTAAGAATATATATTTGTAGCATTTAGCGCACTATCTATTGACTGACTTTTTTATTTTTATGAAATTCAGGCTGCACATAGTGGTTACTGTCGGTTACCCCAAATGGTCTTCATTCTACCAACAGCGAAAATGTCGTAAATGAAATACACAAATTAATAGCTTTCAGCAAAAAATGATGTAGCTTCGCCTCATGTTTCATTTAAATTGAAGAAAAATAGCATAAGTGTGTTTTTTAGAAACCGAAAAAATGTGGAGATATGGTATTTGATTGATATTTGACTGAATTGAAAATTCTTTTAAGTAATTTTTTTAAAACAAATATTAACTATGATTATTAGACTCTATTATGTATTTCAATGTACTATTTATTTAAAATTGTATTCGGAGGAGAAAACATTTTAGGTTCACCCAAGAGGTCTAAATATTAAAACAATAAGAAAATAATAAAATTTTAAAAGTCGTCGTGGCCTAACGGATAAGACCTCCGGTGCATTCGTGTTGAGCGATGCACCGGTGTTCGAATCCGAGGCGGGTACCAATTTTGCTAATTATAATTATTTATAATTTGCGTAATTACTGGTGGTAAGACCTCCTGTGAGCCCACGCGGGTAGGTGCCACCACCCTACCTATTTCTGCCGTGAAGCAGTAATGCGTTTCGATTTGAAGGGTGGGGCAGCCGTTGTAACTATAATTGAGACCTTAGAACTTATATCTCAAGGTTGGTGGCGCATTTACGTTGTGGATGTCTATGAGTTACATTACAGTAATCACTTATCCTATGCTATGCTCGGCATTTCTCTACGTGATCGAATCCGAAATGAGGAGATCCGTAGAAGAACGAAGGTTGCTGACATAGCCCGTAGAATTAGTGAACTGAAGCGGCAATGGGCCGGCCACATAGCACGAAGAGAGGACGGTCGATGGGGCAGAAAGATCCCGGAGTGGCGACCACGTACTGGCAAACGCAGTGTGGGACGGCCACCTACTAGATGGACCGACGACCTAGTAAAAAGCGCTGGGTCTCGTTGGATGCAGGTGGCAATGGACCGGTCGCACTGGAAATCTATTGGAGAGGCCTATGTTCAGCAGTGGACGGCGATAGGCTGAAATGATGAATCAATTATCCGTGGGTGTGTGGGTGGGAGTGTGACCGTGGGTGAACTTCGCTCAGGGTACTCCGGGGCCAGATCGGCGTGGACACGCTGCCCTGTGAAGGCGGCCACCTTCTAGGCCACTCCTCCGTTGGAAAATCGACGGGAGATCCGGGGAGACTGTAGTTGAGACCGCTTAAAGTATAACGGTAACTGGTATAACGATAAAATTTAGGTCTACTTATTCGCCTTACCTAATCGCTAGAACTGTTTAAGTATCCGGAGGGAAAAAGAGGATAAGCGACAAACTATTATTAAGTATTTGCAGGGCAAAATGTAGTAGCCACCTATTTTACACTTATTTAAAACCGGGAAAAAACACTAAAGACCAAACAAAGCCATAAAAATTTTGGCCAAATCACAATAAACGACTACTATGTACTATTACTATTGAAAACTAATAGCCATAAATTACTAAACGGATTTCAACAAATAATTTTATAGAGGCAAATTATCGTAAACTCATATTTGATCATTTTTATTTCCAGGTGAAATAGGTTAACGTTGGATCATTAAAATATTACAGAGAGTCCAAAAAGCATAACTTCGTTATTCTCAAATATTTTGTAGATCAACCACCAAAAGAATAATTTCATAAAAAATTCTGTCGTTTACAACGGAAAAAAACGCCTCATATCCATAATTTCATTACCGCATAAGCGACAAAAAGTTTCACTTACAGACATGTAACTCAGACCAAACGACGCAGAAAAAAAAAGACGATTCCACCTGTGTATAAAACTTAATATCCCAAAAAATGTCGCTTATCCCTTTTTAGGTGTTAGGCATCGATTTGCTCTATACTCTATTGCGAGAGTTACCAATTGATTTCATCCCATAATATCATCTCATCTCATTTCATTTAATTTCATCCCAGTTGATTAATGTCCACTCCATACTATCATTTTTCATAAAAATATGAACATAAATTAAAAAAAGACCTGACCTAAAGGTCTTTGTTACCAGGTCATAAAATCCCATAAAAAAATTGATTAACAACTTCAGATTAAACAATTTCATTTCACATTTTCATAACTGAAGATTGTGTACGGTACCGTACTCGATGCTGGTAGCAGAGAGTACATAATCATAAATATTATATGTACTGTGGGCAGCAACTTGACATCGCAAACATAACACAAATAGATCTCAAAATTCAAATTATGTGGGTACCCATAGACCTGTTTCATACTGCAGTGGTACCTATTACCTTTATGGAAATAGAAAAGCAAACAGCTTTTTTTATATTTTATGACCTGGTAACGAGACCGTTATGCCAAGTCTTAAAATTTCTCCGTATCTTCAGTTAAAATATGAAAAATGAGATGAAGTTGATTAATTTGAGACTTTATCAATTGGGATGAAATTAACTAAAACGAGATGAGATGAGATGAAATAAACTCTCAATCGAATGGTGCTCGTTATTTACCGATACTCTTTCAGTGGACTTTGGAGAAGAACCCGAGAAGCTATGTCCAGCGGCTTGGTTCCATTTTCTCATATTTGTGCACTGTCACCGATTCTAAGCAGTGTTTAACACATTAAAATAATTCTCAAAATTTCGCTCTGCACCTTCCTTTCAAAAAATTAGGCGATAGCCATAGTGGAAAAATAATATTTTCCCTATTTAAATAAAACGTCAAAGAAAACTTTTTGCATTTGTAAATAAATATATAGAGTAGCAATACGTTTTTTTTTTTCAATTTTACATGCTGCTGTTGGCACTCAGGGTTGCCCCTTTTTTTGCTACCTAATCGTTGGTAGCCTAAGGCCTAATCGTACTAACTAACGGCCTAAGTACCCTAAGGAGCTAATCGAGCTTCGAGCGAACCTATAGGTAAGCACGGTAAGCTCTAAAAACCTGAGAAAATACTAGGACTATTACCTCAATACACTGTTGTCTCTTAATAATTTGAGACTGTCAACTTTGGGCACATAGAATACCTAAGCTTAGCTATTAGAAATTTGAAAAAAAAAGGTTTATTTCTTTTCTTTGGATGGACGAGCTTAAGTAGTTAGAAACATTGGATCGTAGTTACATCGAAATAATGGCGATTGCGCCCTTCGTCTTCAGCCAAACACTTTGTTGCTTTTCTGAAGTTTCTGCGGATGTCTTTTTTTTTTTTCATTGACACGTCCACCATTCTACCGCTTCCATTCACACATTTTTATATTTATTTTTAATACTTATTTATTTTATTATCAAAATTACTCAGAATAGGTTTTTCTGTTTCCCTACAAATTCTGGTGGAGCTGGTAACTGGTGGCTACCAGTAGTCCTTCGTCCTTCAGAAATATTTTTATAGGTATAACTAATTATTATTACTATTATTTTTATTGCTTAAATGAGTGGACGAGCTCACAGCCCACCTGGTGTTAAGTGGTTACTGGAGCCTATAGACATCCACAACGTAAATGCGCCACCCACCTTTGAGATATAAGTTCTAAGGTCTAAAGTATAGTTACAACGGCTGCCCCGCCCTTCAAACCGAAACGCATTACTGCTTCACGGCAGAAATAGGCAGGGTGGTGGTACCCACCCGCGCGGACTCACAAGAGGTCCTATCACCAGTTTATTAAATATTATAAATTCTGCCATCAATTTAGTTGTTTCAGAACTGCAGGGCGTCCCATGATGACTAATTTTTATTTTCTTTAGAATTTCGCACCTTTTTCATTTGTTGTTTGGAAAATTAACTTAACTTACAAGCCATACATTAGGTACACTTGATATTAAGAGTACAAGAGGCAAACGTTAACAAAGATCTCAAAAACTTCGTATTTAAAAATATCTTATCTTTGTAATGAAATTTGTACTTTTGAAATTATACTTCTTTAGGCGCGTTATGAAAAATTTATGAGAGTAAAATTTTACGATGCGCGCGCACCGTGACACAAAATTAACAGAAATGAAGTTGCCCACTAAATCGCTCATTACAATACGACCGACGTAACTTGGCGAGTTTGAATATAGCCGCAGGTGAACTTTCGCGCATGTACACTCGTAAAAAATGCTACCAACAAAACAGAAATGGAACCTCTGTTAGTGGCGCATGTTGGCACGCACGCCGCCTCTGTTCACTGTGTATTTATATTTATAATATTTATCCACATGCTTTGAGTTTCTACATTTAAAACACGTGTTTTCATTTTGTTTTCATTATACAAGTGCGAATTTTATATGTGCATCTGAATTATAATCAGAAGTGATTTAAATTGAATATTTAAAACAATACTAATTAATATTAGAAAATAATTGTGGAAAAACTGTGCCCATCAACCTTCCTAAGTGCTCCAATACAATTGAGGTTAACTATCCGTAAGTATTATTTAGTAACATAAATGACAAAACTATTATTTAATATAACTCATACTAAATATTATTAAATTATTAACGTTAAATATTTATTATTAATTATTTAACTTTAAAAAAAAAAGGAATAAATTTAATAAAAATAAAGTACAACTTCTTACGTGCGTACATATGTACACGCACGCTTTTTTTGTTCAATACTTACTTTAAATACCCCGCTTTATAATTTTTCTATTTATATCGTGTAAACAATCTATATTCACAATATGTACTTAACTTTTTCCAAATTTTAACATTTTAAATGCTGTTTTAGTTAAACTATTACTTTGTAATTCGAAAACTAAAATTCTCATTTTATGTACTTACATAATGTTCTCAAAAACTGACTGTATTTTTATTAGTATTTCATTTCATTTTAAATATAAACTTACAATGTTAACGTACTGTATGTAACATCTTCGAAGTTATTGTTAAAAAAAGGAAACGCCATTGACGTTCCTAAGATGCAAACAGCAAAATTCATGTTAGCGTTATTTTTTTAACAATAAATGACTTTTCTGAAACTTATCGTAGGTCCACAATATATTTAAATGTTTACAGCATTGCAATATTTACCACTATGGAAAGTTTTTATTACGTATAATTATGAGATAGGTTCCTTTTGTCAATTCAGAAACGATTTCTTAAAAGCATATGCTCAGCTGATACTTGACAGCTGACAAAGGACATATCAACCAAAAATCAATTTGTTTTCAACAGTCCCAATTCGATAACAATTTCGTTGTCGATGCCATTGCCAACTAACACTTGAGAATTCTCGTTACGTACTATTGTATCCAACGTAACTTATGTATCGAAGCACAAACATAGTTATATTAGAAATGTCAAGTTTCGCATAAAATTAGCAATGTTAAGGCAAACACTGAAATTTAGAAAGACAATTTCATTTCTGTGTGTGCTATCTCTACGTAAGTATTGAATTATTTAAAAATATTAGAAAAGCTTAATTTAGACAAAATTCTAAAACATTCACAGATAATTTATAATAATATAAAAGTCAGCGACAACACGAACCTTATCTTTTTAAAGGCCGGTTTGGCTCTAATATTTATCGATTTTTAATATATTTTAGTTAATGAAGCTATTTTTGTCGAAACCTCAAAATCTTAAATTTGTAATATGCATCACATAAATCAATAGAAATATTTGAAAAATATACCTGAATATTATGGGAATAAAATCAATGTTTTAAAAAGTTTTATACTTTGGATAATAGTATCACTCGCATCTATCTGTAATCATATGGAATATGGTACAAGTAGTCATTTACATCTATTTATAATTAATAGATATTGCTAGCATCAACAATAACATCTATGATATCTGTGAATAATGGTGACTATCTTCACAAAATTACATACTGTAATTTTATGATCATGCATTATTACTACTTCACATATTGTAGTGCAAGGGTAAACTAGCTCAATATTCAATAAAAGTTGTTCTAAGGTATTTAATATAAAGAAATAGATTTCATCATGACGTAATAGTAGCTTGCAAAAACCAAATTAATTTGTTTTGGGTGATTATTGTAATCTAAATAATTTATTTGTAGTGATATTAATATATCTGATCATCACAAAATCGAACAGTGAACATGGGCGGACTCACTACAAAATAGCTGAAGAGAAAAGGGACATCACATTTAGAGGTTTTAATATTTTTCCCAAGGACGAATATAATAATATAAATAAAATGAATTTGCAATCATCAAATGAAGTAACAAGCGATGATACAAAACATGAGCTTGCTGAAGCAAAAAATCGAATACAAGAATTAGAAAAAAAGATTGCTATTTTAGAAGGAAGAATGCCTCAAAAGTACCCTGAAGTAAAGTTTTTAGGATATAAAGAAAGGAGGAGAATCTTAGTAAGTATTTGAAACTCACGCACTGAAGTATGTTAACATAATTGTAATTTATCAACTGTAATCATGTAAAACCTGAATGTCCTCGATGCCTAGTGAATCAAAACACTGTAGGTATGCACATTTGCTGTATTTTTGTATCAGAATTTCTGAAAATGACTTTTATATTATTACCTATATTTCCAGCAGGCTATAAGTTAGACCATCTCCTTTTGTCTTCAACACAAAAACAGCCCAGTAGCTTTGTTACCTTTTGCAAATAAAAATCTAACAAATAATATCGACGCTTGAAAGGCTAATGTGACTAAGCGAAAATGCGGGAATTTTACGTTGGACTAATTTAAAGTTGAAATTACATATACCTGAGAAATACCTGAAAAAATTTTTATTTTAACGAATCTAGCTGTAGGATTGAAATGATTTTAATAGACCTTGAAATATATATTTTTTGCGCATCGAATATAGTTATTGCCTATCATATATGTACAAAGCAGTTATTGTCGCTTAGTCACGTTCGCCTTTCAAGCGTCGATATGTAATATATTGCTCTCACAAGATTATAGCTTCCTGTATGAAATTGACAACTAGATGAGCCTGCCTCCCCATTTGCTTTAAATCACAATAAATATACTTTTAATGATATTCTAGGTGACAGGAGGAGCTGGTTTTGTTGGCTCACATTTAGTTGATATTCTCATGATGAAAGGTCATGAAGTTATTGTAGTCGACAATTTCTTTACTGGCCGGAAGAGAAACGTTGAGCATTGGTTCGGGCATCGTAATTTTGAAATGATTCATCATGATATCGTCAATCCGTTGTATGTTGAAGTAAGTATTGTTATCAGTTAAGCAGTGAGAACATAATAACTACTACTTTGATTTCACCTTTATAGTAATTTACCTCTCTCTATAGTCTAGATTGTACCAACAGATAAGGAATTGTAAAATAGTATTACTATTATTATAATTATTACTGGTGGTAGGACCTCTTGTGAGCCCGCACGGGTAGGTACCACCACCCTGCCTATTTCTGCCGTGAAACAGTAATGCGTTTCGGTTTGAAGGGTGGGGCAGCCGTTGTAACTATACTGAGACCGTAGAACTTATATCTCAAGGTGGGTGGCGCATTTACGTTGTAGATGTCTATGGGCTCCGGTGACCACTTAACAACCAGATGGGCTGTGAGCTCGTACACCCATGTAAGCAATAAAAAAAAACATTAACAGCTTTTCCATTCGTCTAGAAATGAATACTACATTCTGATATCCAGAAAAAAAAAAAAAAAAAAAACATTAACAGCTTTTCCATTCGTCTAGAAATAAATATTACATTCTGATATACAGAAATAACAGAGAACACTCCCCATCATGTGCCATCATTGCCTACCAATAAATGCAATAAAAAAAATCAATTCATCTATCAATTCTTTATCAGAGCCATTACTACCCTGTAGACCGAGATGTCCAGTATTTCTTGAGGGAAATATAAAATTTTGGTCAAATATTACTACAGAAAATCAATTACTAACTATTTACGACATTATCATTAATGAATCACAACTAAGCTCAAAGAAATCTGCAGGTAATAGGGTGATATTATGTAAACAATGTATATCCATAATCAATTCCAAGTATTCATACCAGTCCGTAATCTACTATTATAACAAAAAAATGTAACTATAAACATTCAACATAGTTCTTATGACCTTCTTAAAACAAAAGAGACAAAGAATGTCACTGGTGTCATTGTCCCTTTCAGAAAATGTAAATATTTATTCAATTGCTTTACCATTATGACCATAACTTCAGCCTCAAATTGAATTGTTATTTAAGGTCTTAAAAAAAATGATTTTTACGCCCTCATTCAATACATCGTCTTTAGAGTTCACTACTACTGTACTAAAGTGTTTGAGTGATAACGAATGACTCTGGTAATGTTTCATATTCAAGCTCATAGTTGGTATGAGCTAGAGATACTGGTATTGTTACTGATGGTAGGGCATCTTGTGAGACTTCACGGACAGGTACCAAGGTTGCTTTCCAAGATGATGGAGCGAATAATAAATATACAACTCCTGAAGTATCTTAAAGATCGCCAGCTGATCAGTGACCGACAGTACGGTTTCCGTCACGGTCGCTCAGCTGGCGATGTTCTTGTATACCTTACTCACAGGTGGGCTGAAGCCTTGGAGAGCAAGGGCGAGGCTCTCGCTCTGAGCCTTGATATCGCGAAGGCCTTCGACAGGGTCTGGCATAGGGCACTTCTGTCGAAGCTACCAGCTTACGGAACCCCCGAGGGGCTCTGCAAGTGGATCGCTAGCTTTTTGGATGGGCGGAGCATCACGGTCATTCTAGACGGTGAATGCTCTGATACCATGACCATTAACGCTGGCATTCCTTAAGGTTCAGTGCTCTCCCCTACGCTTTTCATCTTGTATAATGAAACCATAACAAATTTCATTACAATGACATGCTGTCTATTGATGGCATGTATTGCTATGCGGATGACAGCACGGTGGATGCGCGATATATCGGCCATCAGAGTCTCTCACGGAGCGTGGTGCAAGAGAGACGATCAAAACTTGTGTCTGAAGTAGAGAGCTCTCTGGGAGAGCTCTCGAAGAAGGACCCCTTTGTCATGGCGTCGCAATTCCAAGGAGTATCCCTACAACCTTCGAAGAGTATTGGGATACTTGGGATCGACATTTCGAGCAATGTCCAGTTTCGGAGTCATTTGAAAGGCAAAGCCAAGTTGGCGTCCAAAATGCTCGGAGTCCTCAACAGAGCGAAGCAGTACTTCACGCCTGGACAAAGGCTTTTGCTTTATAAAGCACAAGTCCGTCCTCGCTTGGAGTACTGCTCCCATCTCTGGGCCGGGGCTCCCAAATACCAGCTTCTTCCATTTGACTCCATACAGAGGAGAGCCGATCGGATTGTCGATAATCCCATTCTCACGGATCGTTTGGAACCTCTGGGTCTGCGGAGGGACTTCGGTTCCCTCTGTATTCTGTACCGTATGTTCCATAGGGAGTGCTCTGAGGAATTGTTCGAGATGATACCGACATCTCGTTTTTACCATCGCACCACCCGCCACCGGAGTAGAGTTCATCTATACTACCTGGAGCCACTACGTTCATCCACAGTGCGTTTCCAGAGATCTTTTTTGCCACGTACCATCCGGCTATGGAATGAGCTCCCTTCCACGGTGTTTCCCGAGCGCTATGACATGTCCTTCTTCAAACGAGGCTTGTGGAGAGTATTAAACGGTAGGCAGCGGCTTGGCTCTGCCCCTGGCATTGCTGACGTCCATGAGCGACGGTAACCACTCACCATCAGGTGGGCCGTATTCTCGTCTGCCTATATGGCAATAAATAAATAAAAGGTACCACCACCCTGCCTATTTCTGTGTTTCGGTTTGAAGGGTGGGTTAACTGTTGTACTATAGAACTGGTAATTAGAACTCATGTTTCAAGGTGGGTGGCGGCATTTACGTTGTTTATGTCTGTGGACTCCGGTACTCACTTAATACCAGGTGGACTGTGAACTCGTCCACTCATCTAAACAAAAAAAAAGAATATATAACTATTTTGGAGGTTTTCAGTGTAGAATAGAACGCTTATAAAGCTTTTCTTGTAGATAGATAAACATAAACAATTCGCAACATAATTTAAAATGAGGCATGTTATTAAATTACTCCTATAACTTTTTAGAGGATGTTAATAAAATATCATAGACGTCTGGTGTAATAATTAAACTGCATTCCCTAATCGACTGTTTTCCTTCGGAAATTCTAGACGATTTTTTCTCATGAAAGATGAATAGTTTTCTCATACTTTGAGACAATAGGTCTTGGAATGAATGTTGAATGTTATAGGTAGTGATTAAAGTATCCATTAAAAAGTCTGAAGTGCAATTTGATAACATAGATTAATTCAATTTATTAATTCTTATCAAACAAAATTGTGGATGCATAGTCCTAACATGCCTTTGATAATATTATTAATAAAAATAACTTTTTATCTATACGTAAACATTACACTGATGCTCGGGTAGTGGTCTTTCGTGTATGAACTGCGAACGATTACAATTAATTTTTAAATTACAAGTTCTCGTAACAGAGCTGATTTCATAGACAAAGAGAAATTTAAAAAGAGCTATTTTGAGAATTCACACGTCACAAAACCTTTTTTTTAATGCTGGGGAACTCGTTTACGGATATCCTGACATACCAAGACAAAAAACCTGCTCCAAACTCACGTACAGAGGTGGATTATCCGTAAGGCAAACTAGACACGTGCCTAGGGGCGTGTAGTTACAAGGGGCGCGCGAGCTCAGAATTTTTAAATAAATAAAGAAAATAACATATCAACGATTAAGAACTAAATGCTGATCTGTAATCTAAATCTATAATAGATTATATTGCACAAGCATCGATATACTCGTATTAAGCAATATTGCGGGTTTGTTTGTATTTCATTTGCGCATTCACGTAAGTACAAGGGTCCTGGTCTATTAAAGTCTAGGGTTTGATGATACAACGTCATCGTAATTGCAAAAACAACTAGTTAAAATTTATAGTATTATGATGGCCATTTATGGCCGGTACAGGGGCGCCGATAAAGTGATTGCCTAGGGCGTTCTGGACCTTTAATCCGCCACTGCTCACGTACTAATGATTTAATCATTCTTTTTAAAAACTGAAGCGTCGAATTAGCCTTGAAATAACCTTAGGGCAACGCAAAGCCGCCTTCGCCCGAAACGTCTCTTGTCGGAGCCACTCTCGGTGCTTTTAGGCTCTTCAAGCAGTGGTCATCCTCGTCGAACTCATCGAACACGACGAAGAGTTGGTCGACCGAATGAACCCATAGACACGACCCATTGAGGGAGGAGGAGGGTTACTTACCGGATCTCCTCAGTGCGACGCGATTCCAATCTGGTGGTAAATTCTGCCAAGCAATGCTCTTGCTAGGACTAGTGTTAGCACATTCTCTCAGGTTGAGACCCGTGACTCCTATCACACACACAGCGTAGCGTAAAAGCCTCTTAGCTTGCCAGCGAATCGGTAGGGAAATAAAAAAGTACATTAATTAACTGAATTCAAACATTTTCAACATACTTAAACATACTTAGTAACCTAGAGATTCAGTTAATCTTGTGAAAAAATAGTTAAAAATTGTTTGGGTATAATAAATTAACAAATATTATTTCATTTTAGGCAGACGAAATATATCATTTAGCTAGTCCTGCCAGCCCACCGCATTATATGCAAAATCCTGTTAAAACAATCAAGACTAATACTCTAGGAACTATAAATATGTTAGGTAAGTAATAAAATAATGTGACACGAATAATAACTTCACAAAGCTTACAAAATATTATTATGATACTTCACATATAGATGTAATGTTTGTTCAATCCTAAGTAACATTTTTGATAAAGTTCATTTCCTTAGTAAAAGTTTTTGCAAAACAGTGTCTATTATGGATTGAAATAATGCAGCAATTTACTTTTTACTTAAACGGTGGGTAATAGGTACTCCGGTCACCGTCCGAGTGAATTAACCCATAGACACAGCCCACTGAGTTTCTCGCCGAATTTTCTCAGTGGGTCGCGTTTCCGATCCAGTGTTAGATTCGGTGAAGCACTGCTCTTGCTAGGGCCAGTGCTATCAACACTCCCAGTTTGAGCTCCGAGAGCTCACCTACAGGTCAATGAGAAGCTGAAATACCCTCTCAAGGCTATCAGCATAAATAGGAAAGAAAAAAATGTAGGTAAACCTCACCTGAGAGAGAGGTAAGGTTTACGCACGTCTGCTTTTTTATTTTAAAAGTCATGGGTCGTTTCATTTACAACAAAATTTTGTGGTGCTCTGTTGCCCCACTAAAGAAACTATAACTCGAATTCAGTTCCCATGTATCCCATAGTAGTATTAAAGATTTTTATAATTGTAATAATAACAGGCAAGTAAAAGCCAAACTAACTATTAAACTAAAAGGGAAAAAACGACTTTAGGTACATTTTCAATTTCAGGTCTCGCCAGACGCGTCGGCGCTAGAATACTGATCGCAAGCACTTCAGAAGTATATGGAGATCCTTTGGTGCATCCACAACCCGAATCTTATTGGGGCCATGTTAATCCAATTGGTAATAATATACTTATATAATAAACTACCCTCTAATTCATCAAAATAATCTATTTAGTTCTTATTGGATTTCGTTCCACTAGACAATTTATAAATGCAACGTGCAGTTGCCATTAGTATAATAGCTAACCGTTTGTGTAAAAAATGAAAGATCTGTTTAAACATTCTGTCACAATGTTAAGATACACACATGACTGCCCGAACATGGGAGTGTAATACACTCACATGTGAGTTTCTTTACTTCTCCAAGACTTTTAAATGTTTTAATATAAATTTGAATTAGTATAGTTTATCAGCGATTTCGGGAACTTTCATACGCACGGTAAAAGTTTCAATTCGCTTCTTTCCTCGCCAGTGCTTCGTTGCAATTATGATAATAAATTAACAAATTATTTTACAGGCCCTCGAGCGTGTTACGACGAAGGCAAGAGAGTTGCAGAGACACTGGCGTATTCGTACGCAAAACAAGAGAAAGTTGACGTGAGAGTCGCTAGGATATTCAACACGTACGGACCTAGAATGCATGTTTCAGACGGTCGTGTAGTTTCTAATTTCATAATGCAAGCTTTACAGAATTTAACTATTACAGTAAGTAGTAACTTATTTTAGGTTTGTACTTATAGATTTTTGTTTTTTGAAGCGGTTTTCTTATTAGTTTTGATTATTTTTATACTTAGAAAATGCAACCGAACATGCGGAACTTCATTGCGCGTGACGTCATTCGGGGTTAAAATAAGCTACTAGGTTTTGCAGAGACTGTTGAAAAAGAAAAATAGAAAATAACGGAATATGCATATATCTACCTACGCTTTTGCTGTGTGGTTACTGATCCTTAATGATACATAGAAATTACATTTTTAACCACAACGAATAATGAGACATGACGTCATGCGTCATGATTGTATTAAGTGTCAAAGTAATTTGGGGTCAAGTTGTATTTTTTTAATGATCTATAAATTATATTAATTTCATACGGAAATAGAACCTAGATGAACATTTTAAGTAAATTAGCATTCTTAAAAAAAATGTTTTCATTATAGTCCGATTGCCTGTTCATGCTTCATAAATTTCAATTGTTTTCAAACCACCGATCAGGACTATAAAAACATTTTGATATTAAAACCGAAAGCATTTCTTTTTTTATATTTTAAATGGAAACAATACTCTCTGTACTGTTAACATTAAGCAGATAATACCTCCCCATGTTCGGTATTGATTCTTTTTTTATTATTATTTCAGGTTTATGGTAACGGAAAACAGACCCGATCGTTCTGCTACGTGTCTGACCTTGTCGATGGACTGCTAGGCTTAATGGCTTCTAGTTATACATTACCTGTTAACATTGGGAACCCGGTAGAACATACCATAGAAGGTGAATATTAAAACTAATTTACGAACGAAAACGGGCATGTTTTACTAGCAAAAAAACGAATTTAGTATGAACGTTGCTTTAATTAACATTTTGAAAATTAATTTAAGAGGAGTGATTTTATTGTAATTGTTATTTAATATGACTTCTGTCTATGTAATAATAAGTACATTTACAATTTAATCTTGCGTTATTGTTTTTTATTTTATAATTACAGATTTAGGTAGAGAAGTTTCGAATACTTAATTATTTTCATAATCACGGACCACGTCATTGACTATTCGTCGAAATTTTAATATTGTGAAACTACCGTCCATTTTTAAATTTTCATAAATTTTCATTGCTAGTCGATTACCTCGATCGTCTGGTGTTCGGCGTTTAACTATTAAACCACGGCGTCCAGGTTCGATTACCAACTAAAGTCGGTATCTGGGCTTTTTGTGGTTATAAGTAGAGTACGCGGGAGAAAAGGCTTTGAGTGTTGCTGTTTGAAATGAACGTGCTTGTTTTCAGAATTTGCAATGATCATAAAGAATCTAGTCCCCGGGTGCCGCAGTACTGTGGCCACGGGAGCCGCGGTCGAGGACGACCCTCAGCGGCGCCGACCTGATATCGCAGTGGCGGAGGCTCATCTACACTGGAAACCTAAAGTAAGCATAATAATCACATAATTTCATCATTTTCCTGCCCTTCTCCCAGTCACTTGAGTTCGGCGTAACATGTTTTCTCCTTCCATACTTTTCTATCATATACCATTGTTTCGCTCGCTCCCTTCTTACCCATATAGTCTTTCACGCAATCCATCCATTTCTTCTTATGTCTACCTCTTCTTCTATATCCTTCCACATTCATAGTTAACATTTTCTTACCAACCTCATTTTCATTGCGTCTCATCACATGTCCATACCATCCCAAACGCGCACTTCTCAGCTTCTCTGTCACAGGTGCCACTTTCAGACTTCCTCTAACATATTCATTCCGTATTCTATCCATTCTCGTTACTCCACACATCCATCGCAACATTTGCATCTCTGCTGCATGCAAGTACAAGCATAATAATCACAATAACCGGATAAAAGTATTGGGTCAGAAAAATAATAGATTAATGCTTTGTAGGAAAAAAGAAACTAGAAGTACCTACTGATGGTTTTTATCAGCTAAAATGGACACATGAGCTATGTCTTTATCTATACTAATATATAAATCTACATTAGTTTTTACGGATGTTCCGTTTATAACTACTGAACCGTGCATCCGATTGACTTGAAACTTGGTATCCATGTCGAAAATACACGTACTTAATGGATAGGCTAATATTTATATTATATGAGTTGGGCCCCCTACACCAGTTGCGTGGGCTATAATGATGAGAATGTTTGTGGGGGTGAGAAATAATAATGTTAATTTTAAATGCCCAGCGAAGCGGGCGGGTACAGCTAATCTTGTGTAAATCTGCATTAGCTCGCACGCTGCCGCCTGTCTCAAACATGAGTATAGTAAACATTGCGAGATCGTTTCTATTGCACAAAGTTATTCTTTTGTGGAAGTCATTTGTGGCCACATAGTGGGAACATAATTAATTAGAATATTTTACAACCCTCATACTTATATGAAATTATTCGTCTACCTCAAACTACCATTTAAAAGCAGGTAGCCCCGCAAGCTCGTCTGACCCAATATAGTTATGAAAATCGTTTTAATAGATAATGCTTTGATAGGTGTACTATTCATTCCTAGGGTTTACATCAGTGACTGTGACGAAACCCAAAATAAGATCTTCAAGTCTGCTACACCGCTTGTGCCAAGTTTAGAAATCAAATAATCTAAATAAATAAATTTTCAGGTAAGCCTACAGGAAGGCTTGCAAAGAACCATCGACTATTTCAAAGAAGAATTATCAAGGACTACACTTTACAATAATCAAACTTATGTAGATATGAAAGTCAATCATCATTAGTATAGTTATTAACTTAATTTTAATGTGATATTAGAATTACATCAACCGAACTATTTTATGAACATATAGTTATGTCTAAATAATATGAAAGACCAAAAATCAATTCGACTATGGTGACCCAAAACGAACCAATACGATTTCAATTTATGAAACAGGATTTTCGAATTATTGCTACATTAATACATACATATATGCGGCTGATTATATTATAATTATCTTATTTTTTGATTATCAAAAATGGGACGTTTTGATATGCCTTGTTTTGCCATATTTGAACGGTGAATAGACCATGACACCGTAGCTTTGGACCTGTTTTATAGTGACAGTGGATTCATGTGTCTGTTGGTTTTAGGAGACGCCTAGTCGGTGGGTAATAAGTGTGCATTCACAACCGTTGACACCGCGACCGTAACAATAATACAATTTGTAACCTTGGTCAATGTCTACTAATTTTATGCGTGTTAAATGATATATCCTAAATAATCATATTATCACAGGGCGATTCTATATATATATATATAAATATGCGATATTTCCTAAAATTTCAACATATCTTCATCTGGCTGAATATTTTTATTGAGTGTTCGTTATTATCACCAAAAGCGTATAGCTTAGTGCCTACATACTAGCACAAACAAGTCGCTTCGTAAAGATTATTAAATTGATTAGTTAAATAAGAGACGATGAAAATTTTGATTAGTTCTCATTTTTATTTAAGGTTAACCATACGGTTGTTTCTAGTATAGTATTTTTTATGCTATTGTTTGTACAACTCAACAATCTATAAAGTAGTAAATAAAGAAATTTATTTATAACATGTAGGTATATGGTACAAATATTTTCTTCTATCTATAGTATCGAGTTTCCTCTGAAATATCCGTTGTTTTTTATGAATGAGCTGGTAAAAGTCGAATAAAGAGCGAGATACGACCATTTTGTATTTTGAAAATAAATATTCTCGATCTACCAATAATAATGCTTTTGTTCTACAACTGAACTTGGACGTTAATGTCGGATCATTGGATTGTTTACTGTAATAATATGCCGTACCGTATCGCGTAAGGGAACCGTTGTCGGAAACAAAAGACACGATATAGATATTATCATGACAACATAAAAAAGGTTTTTTTTTTATGTAGTTTATTTTTGTTGTTTAGTTCTTAAGTTTCATTTTATTATTGTACGCCATTTGATACGGAAATGACGGTGCGCGCAGTCAAACGATTTGTATTTGTAACAAGTTTGTAACTAAAACCATCATTGTCTGTGCCGAGCCTAATGAATATTTATGTATACGTTAAATTAGTCATGCCAACAACTATAAACTCATTAAAGTTTAAAATAAATTGTCATCCAGTTATAGATACAAAATGCAACGCAATTAGTCAGCATCTTCTACCTAATCAAAATAAAATCCAGACTGACAGACCCATTTGCACATAAATGTACAAAGTGACGAATTACAGAAATAAGAGAATAGTTGAATAGATCAAAATTTTATTCAGTTGGGATGAATCGATGCCAAATATTTCCTGCCGTCTACCGCCGTACATAAAAAAGATGTGTGGTGTCGTGGGACACCTGATAAGAACGATATTAATTTTAAGTTCTATTCGAGGTATAAAGAAAATAAAACTGGAGGTTTCGCAATAACCCACGATCATTCGGCAACGTGCGAACTTATTGTGGTACACTTCATTCACGGTTGTTTGCATAAGATTTTTGTACGTTATTACAAAGTTAAGTCGTTCACTGTGTGCATTACTAATAAAAATCTTACGTTACGGACGTTTTTTCCCGGTTAGGGTACCCCTCCGCATCGTCCCATAAGGAACTTCGTTCCAATATTGTTTTCTGTTTTATCGCGTAATAAATGTTACCGTTCTAACAACGGAAACGGTTCCTTTAAACGCTGTATGAGTAGTTAGTGTTGAAAAATTTATCTAGCCATGCTATTTCAAAATTGTTAAAAATCATTATCAATCAAAACTCAATGTAAATACTTCTACATTTTAACATAGTGGTATCGGAAGTACTTAAACAATTATCGACATTACACCTTCTCGATGTAGAAACGTTAATATGGCTTCATAAAGTTATTTTACTATAATAAATGATTCAATTGAATCACCCATATATATGTATGTCGGAGAAATCCCATTATTAAGACTACCGTCAGATTTCATTTTTTTTTTTTTTTTTTTTTTTTNCCCTTGTAGGCAGACGAGCATACGGCCCACCTGATGGTGAGTGGTTACCGTCGCCCATGGACTTCAGCAATGCCAGGGGCAGAGCCAAGCCGCTGCCTACCGCTTAATACTCTCCACAAGCCTCGTTTGAAGAAGGACATGTCATAGCGCTCGGGAAACACCGTGGAGGGGAGCTCATTCCATAGCCGGATGGTACGTGGCAAAAAAGACCTCTGGAAACGCACTGTGGATGACCGCAGTGGCTCCAGGTAGTATGGATGAACTCTACTCCGGTAGCGGGCGGTGCGATGGTAAAAACGAGATGCCGGTATCATCTCGAACAATTCCTCAGAGCACTCCCCATGGAACATACGGTACAAAATACAGAGGGAACCGAAGTCCCTCCGCAGACCCAGAGGTTCCAATTAGGGCAAATAGCTAGGGTTGATCGAGTTAAGATAAATATTGAGTACGTAAAATAAGTTTGTTGTCTTAGAACAATTTAGAAATCTTCTCTTGACGTTAGCAAACGAAAACGAATGACAGTTCTTAGGATGGAGGTACCGCTCCTCAAAAAGGCTGGTTTGTTAGTGAAATGCGTCTATGCGCCTCCATCGGCTAGGCTCTGTCGTAGCACGAAGTTAGCCGAGCTCCGACGACATTACGATCGTCTCGGGAATCGTGCTGCGCTTCGTTCTGCTACTAAACTAATGACCGTCTCCGACATATATGTATATCGACGCTTGAAAGGCAAACGTGACTAAGAGACAATAACTGTTTTATACATAAATTATAGGCAATAACCATATTCAATGCGCAAAAAAATATATTTCTAGGTCTATTAAAATCAATTGAAACCTACAGCTAAATTCGTTAAAATATATTTATTTTCAGGTATTTCAACTTTAAATTAGTCTACTGTAAAGTTCACGCATTGTCGCTTAGTCACGTTTCCTCGATATATATTTATTTGCTTTATTAATTTATTTAATCTATTTTTCAAATACTTCATATAAATAGCACTTCAAAGTGATGTCGTACATACGTTAGGACCAAATGTTATGAAATAATTGTAGACACAAGAGGGTAGTGGGAAACACGTATGCGGTATCGCCTACTATGACTAAAGTGTATCCTTACTCAAAATTCAATGAAGCCAGAGGATTCATTTTTAGTTTTTTGAATGCTTATATTTTGATGCACTAGTAACGTACCTTTTTGTGTTAAAATGTCATTATTCCAAAAACAAAATATGTTGAGTTTATTGAAATTTTATGTTGATTTATTCAAATAAAAAAGATAGTTTGCATTATGTTTTATTTATTATAAATTCGTATAAATTTGACTAGTTTGACTGTTCTACAAGTTACATATTTTAAATATTGTTTGTACCTCAAGATACAGATCGAGTTAAATATACTGAATGTTTCAGAATAACTCGAAACGTGGTTGTGATATAAACTATGTTGATCTGGTAAAATTTAATACCAAAATCTAAAAACTAATAAAACTTCGTGGCCTAAAAGATAAGACGCCTGGTATACGCGCCACAATGGACCAGCCTCACCCTGGTGGAACCGCCTGCATGTGATCACGGTATCCCTACGCCAGGTATGTATGATTTAGCAAGCGAAATACGAGAACGTCTATCAACTGTGTTACATCTCGTCACCGCGATTCAGGAATTGTTGTAATTACGTGCAGCGATATGTGTTGATAACAAACTAAATAGAAATAAAAGTATCTTAGGGCGCTCCGAGAGCCACGACAGTGTGCACGGACGTCAAAAACACACTCAACTATAGTAGAATTATTTTGTCCGTGCAGTTTGGGTCATAAAAAATCGGTGCAGCGAGTATTTCGCTCTCTCTTCCACTCACGAGCCTTATGGACGAGCATAGTGATGCGCATTGTTATTGTCGATAAGCGTTATCGATAGTGTATTTAGTTTTGTCATTTTGTGGGTTAATGATAAAAATGAAAGAAAAAATCACTAATCAAACACTTACACCACATATCGCCGCAGCAAGTTAACGAGAACGGCAGAAATTAACACTTTGTAACTTTTCGGGATCTATTCTCATTTCAGTGAATAACACATTGTTGATAATAACACGTGCTTGTGCTGGTATATTTTTGTCAACAAGCAAAATATTTCAATAAATTCTGCCGTTTTGGTACAAAACAAAGGAGTAGCCATTGTGTCACTAAAGAAATTCAAAGAGCGAATGCACAAAATCACATTTCTCTTCGACATATGTACTATAATTTGCAGGTAGGTACAACAAATGACTCATAACAGTCATAACATAACAATGTCTCACCACCCTTCGTATACCACCCCGCCGCCGTGTACCTGCCTTCGATGATTCATTTGTTTTTATCGATAACGGCGTTGCGCCCACGCAACATGCTCACCGCCCTAGCCGTGTTTTATAACCCAAACTGCACGGACAAATAATTCTACTATAATCGGGGAGGCGAGACCGTGTGGAGCGCTTCGTGATTTGTCGGCGCTGCGCGGAGCCGCTTCAGCAAGCCAATCGCAGCACACTTATTTTTTCGTTTCGTTTCATCGAGTTTGAAATCACAACGATTTTAAAGAAGTTTCACTTCAAAAACTTATAGATACCTGATAGATAGTGCCGATATGGTTCACTTTACGACACTTTTAAGTCACCTACTCCAATATATAACCTTAATTAGCATTGTCACATTCGCATTCAAAGCTTTTATTCAAATTATTTCAAGTTAGTGACAGCATTCACTAGGCAGAACATTCCAGTTGTATAGATATGATTTCCTTTCCGTACTTTCATGTTTGCAAAGTTTATTGCCATGTGAATTAATCAAATTTTTAAATAACTGAAACATATCACTTGGGGTTTGTTTATGTCGAACTAACATATTTGTCGAGCAACCTCTAGTCTTCCATTCAGTGTCAAATCTGATATCATGAACCCTATTGATTCTGTCTAATGGTGCTGTCCACACTCCCATTGATACATCTTCAGAATTGTAATGACTGTGAACAAAGAAAAACTAAAAAAATTAGCTTACTAAATTTAGATATGTATGGTATTTTGTATACAATAATATAATGGAAAAATATATTTACCTCAATAATTCAGCATTTTTACCAACAAAATCGACTATACTACGAGATATAACATATCCTCCACCACGAGCATAAGGCAAGTAGTTATCACAAAGGAACCAATCTGTCTCTTTCCACTTGCCAGACATAAACACTTTGGCTTTTCCACTGAAATATCCCCAATATAATCCATTATATGCAGAATGAGATTTCTAAAACAATAAAAGAGTATTTGAGACACAATAATTAAAAATTTTGATATTGATAATAGATAGTCACCATTCCTAGATAGCTAGGCAATCAAAACTTCCATCTAAAAAATGACATCTATGAAGTAAAGTGGACAACAATAATATTTTCTTGCTTTATGAGATGAGGTGACATTTACAGGGTGATTATTGAACTCCTGACATAAAAAGTTAATGAAACATGAGTTTGAAGTCTCAATGATATTATTATTTCTTGTATATGTCCCACCTTTTAAACCAGAAAACACGACATTTGCAGCGTAGAATGTAAGAAGTTGGTACCTACTTGTACAGGTATTTTTTTGCTGTAGCTTCACAAGTTCATATCCCATTTACTAAATCTCATAACAGTACCAAGTGAATGTCTCAGTCCTCAGAATTAGAAGCCAGAGTAAATGCTCATTAAAAATACTCAATAAACAGTCAATTTATAAAGAGCATATTCAAAACGAAATTCACTTTTACTAACCAACCAACCAACCTTATACGAAACAAATGATTTTATTTCTTCTCCATCCATTTTCGGAGCAAACGCTTCCAGATCTCTCACTATCAAATCTATTCTAACAAATGAATCATCATCACATTTTATCAAGTATCGAAGATTTTTTAAATTTTCACTAAACCACTTCAATGCTTTTAATACTTTGGATGTTAAATTATCATAGGAATCTTGGAGATCATCAATTAAAAGCATATCATTACTTCTGCTATTTTCATCATTCAGTTTCATTATTTCCAGTAGACTTAGTTTCTGTAATCCTATCACGAAATATAATTTAATAATATTTTGTTGGTTTTGTCTACTGATTTTGGTATGGTTCCATTTGTACAGTTTCTCTCCATTTTCTTTAAATATATTATTCGCTAATTTCGCCCATGTAGATCTGATAGCATCTCTTTTATTCTTATTTTCTGGTCCGCTGAACACAAGCACAGCATATTCAATGCCATCACTTGATGTGGTAATATCTGGATCTGATTTAAAAGTTTTAGTAACGGCATCCGCACAATCAAGACGAATAAGACTCAATGTGATACCACATCCTAAATAGAAAAAAAATAAGCTAAACAGAATCACAATTTTAAACTTCCTTATGAAACTAACTAACATTTTGATTCAGTAAAACCCTGTTAATTAAAATCAGTATTTATTTCTGTTTAGATATTTTTATTGGTGCATTATAACTTAGTTTTACTATCTAGATTTTTAACTAATTGGTTAAATTACGAAAGTAGGTAGGCACGGAACATATTTTCCAGATTCGTTTTTATTGTGCTCAGTGCTCTTCCCGTTGTCCCGGTCTTGTCCATAGAGTTCGTGTTGTGGGTACGTATTAACTCTATGATCTTGTCTATGGCTTTTGAGATTAGGGATGAAACTAAACAGCGATGTTTTCAAATATCGATGTATCGTTCACACAAAACGATGTTTTAACATCGATGTTGAAACCAAAACATCGGCGATACATCGTTGTTCATGAACGATGTTTTATCGTACACAAACAGGGCGCCATATTACGTTCTATCCGTGATCTACACAAATTATGTCTCAGCCATAAGCGGTCATTTTTCAATTTGGCGTCTCGCTCACTCACTTTTTTCCTGTCTATTCTAGTAACCTCGGGAGGCTATTGCAGATTCACCGAATTAGTAGGTGAGCTCACGGGGCTCAAACCGGATGACGTTGCTATCACTAACCCTATCAAAAGCAGTGCTTCGCAGAATCTGTCTGTACTTAATTTATTCGCTGAGCCCATCGTCGCAAGTGATGTATTGGACGAGGACGGTGACCGGTGCTTGAGGTAGCTAAAAACACCGCTAGTGGATCGGGAGGTTTACTCGCTCAGCACTTATAAAGCTATTATATGTTAGAACGATTCATGATGAAACTATTGGGGTGATAGTATTGTACCGTCCAGATGTGCCTCCAATGATCACATAAAGTGAAGTAGGCTGCCTACGCGAAATCATTCAACTTTTGCAACCGTTCAAAAGATTAGCTAAAGAAATTTGTGTACAATGTTTTCTTACAGTAAGCAAAGTAATAACACTCGTGAACTGCCTTCATGATATGCTTGAAAAATATTCTAGCATACCACCCTATCGCTTAAATTAGAAATTGAAAATGAAATCACAAAAAAGTTATTAAGTTAGAGAACTGTTCATAGTTGGCTATTGCAACCGCCTTGGATCCTCGTTTCAAGCTGATTCATTACCAGGGTACCAGATTATTAAAACTGTTATAACTGTTAAATTCGATTTTGAAGAAACAAACGTTCATTAATAGTAATGCTCATTACATAATTAGAATTTCACTTAAAAATAATAGTCAGAATTTAATGAATGCATGTTATTTTATGTTTTATTATATTTATCATAATTGTTTCTTATCGTTTAACTGCCTAAAAAACTTTATAGTATTAAAGTTGATTACACGGATCTGTAAATTTTAACTTTTACCTTCCTCTCAAATCCAAAGATTTGAGTATTGATATTGGAGTAGATTACAAATATGCAAGTACATACTTGGATTTTTCGTATTACACTGAGTTTGTTTAAAAAACCTTTGGTGTGAATTTGAAAAAAAGTTTAAGTAATTTGTAAATGGTGCTAAAAACATTGAAAAAAAACAACGATATATCGTTCATAAAGATCGATATTTTTCTTATCGATGTTTCAATTTTAAAAACATCGGTATCCTAACATCGATGTTATTATGAGCGATGTTCCATCCTTAATTGGGATAACCTTATGTCAGACTTGTAGATAATAAATCGACTGCATTTTTTCGTTGAAATTTAGGTAGTAGATTAAAGAATATTCGAATCCCTGTAATGTAGCAGCTACATTTTTCGCCCGATTTAATTTTGATTAAGATGTGATGTACCTACATGAATGTAATACGTGTCAAAAATTGTCAAAATAGAACTTTTTAGGCAATGACCTAATTCATGTTTGTCTTATATATTCTTTTAAGTCTCACTTTTCTCATTAATCATGTATAATTGATTGTATTAATGTTTAATCTATGATAATAAATAAGTCTATGTGCATTATTACACTTATTACAATTTTTTGCACTTAATCTTGTTTTAGAATAGCATTCGGCTTCTTGCATTTTTTGTTAAATTTTATATGACATAGCAACTTACGATGTAATTTGGGTTTTCGCTGAAAGACTCGATTCTACATCACCTCGAGGTAGAATAAGCGTAGCAAAATTTTTTCATTTACACTACAGTGACAAAAATGGGAGGTGGCAAATTGGAAATTCGAAAAAGCTCGTCAAAACTATAAATTGACCCATCCTCAAAACTTCCGCAAATTTTTCCAAAAAATAAATAAAAAGAAAATAAATAAGAAGAGATTTCTTTTAAAGAATTGAAGTTGGCTTACAGAAAAATAGTGGGAATGCTCAGGAAACTCTATGGAAAAGCCCGAGACACAACTTCAAGAAATTTCATTTCATTTTCCAACGCATGTGCATTTTCGCAGATTTTAGTATCTGTGAAAATGTAAATAAGCATTAATACACTAAATAAGTCACTACTATATATAAGCTTAAACTTGATTTTAAAAAACAATATTAAATCATTACCCCCAAACTATTAAAAAATCTTTATTAGAATGCCTAATATGTAGTATGTAGAGACCACAAGATAGGTAATACTATGGTAATCACCGAAGTATGAAATAGGTCTATGATGGTAATACCAATACCAATACCTACCCTTTATCCACAAAAACCCTATTTGACGTATTCCGTACGTCACTGTCAAAATGTTAAAAGTTTCAACATGATTTCAACAATTTAAAAATCAAAATTAGTCTGTGAACGTACAAATGCAGTGCAGTCGTTCGTGATTAAAATTGAAATTTGATTTTTACTGAAATTTGTAAAATAATCTAGTTAACTTAGTTATATCCCAAACAAAACTAGAATTTACTTTGATTTTTTAATCATATTAACTATTTTTGGAATTGCAGTTTAGTCTGATTCGTGTCCCGTCAAATTTTTTTGGGATTTCTGAAATCAAAGTGACAAAGTGGGTAGTTTTTGTATGCTTTTAAAGTAAATATTTAAAAAATATTGTGTTACGAAAGGGTCATGTCGCAGTTTATTAAATAGGAGGCAAATAAAACACCGGTGGTCAAACTGCTCACATCGAATTCTAAGGTATCAAATATTCCAACGTGTTCCCTTTAAATATATTTTACTCACTTAAAAAAAAAATGAAACGAAATTAAAATAAAGTCAAACAGAAAAAAATGTACCCGAATGATAATAAAGAATGTGTTAGAATATATGATTTGAAAATTTCTAAAAACCTAACAGGAACAACATGGAGTCCTTCAAAAGAAAAAATCGCCCTGCTCACCCCAGAGCTTCAGCAAATCCATTGTCAGCCTTAACTTTCACGTGAGTATGATAACCCACAGTTAGATATAATATATTAATGTCCAATTAAAATTTAACAAATACTGTATTGAGACTGTACAGTTAAATCTCTCCCACTAAGGCTTTTTTTAACAGTTGGACCTTGCCAGTATTTTGGAGCAGTTTGAAAAAGGAATTGGAAGAGCAAGATTTGTATGAGCCCTTAGATGAACATTCCTCAGGTAAGAAGCATTCTATTTTTTATGCATGCATATAAAGATCCCTATTAATATTCCATATTGTTATGATCCCTTTCATAAAAAGTTTCATAGCTATAAATCATGATACTACTAGCAGAGTTCCCATTTACCAAAATTTTAATAAGAAATACTGAATAAACATTGAAATACATCATTTTAATAAAAAAATAAAGATCTGTCAATAGTATGGAAGTGAGTGTTTAATTTATCAATGAACAATAAAGTTATTTTAACTATGTTTTGCTGACTTTATTCCTGAGTTTATTGTTGAACCTGCAGTATTTGACACTCCCTAAGCTTTAATAATCTCAATGCCGGTTTATTGAGTATTTACCACATCTAGTAATTTCCGGTTTGATGTTTTTGTACTTGAGATCCTCAGATTGTGCCTTGCATATAACTTTTAGATGTCTTGTTCTGAACATTTTCAAGAATTTCTACGTTATTAAGACTTACAGTAAATTACACATGAATTCTGTAAGTCCATATAGGTTTTAGAGCCATTGCTCAATCTTATAAAGAAAGAGCTATTGGGCTTTGCAAAAGGAGCTATCTGCTGAGTGCAGATCATATCGAGGGGTAAAAAGCTATATGGTTTAAGCAACATTCTTGCAACTTTACAGGAAAGCCACATAAAGTTTAAAATTTCGAAAAATTATAATAATAAAAATCAATAGAGTAAACTTAAAAATATCGAACTGTTGAGGCCAATACCAAATAAAACGCGCCTTTAATTACAAAGATAAATGTCGTGAATTATAAACGAAATATCGGTTAAACCAAATATCCTTTTCCCCCTCGACATGGAAAGATTGTCTTGCCATTTCGTATCTCACAGTATTGATTATTTTATAACAGAAAAGCATGTTTAATGAAAAAAATACACAAACTCATAGAATCGATTTCATTCGAATAATGGCTATTCACAAAACCCTTCATACCGAGACGTATGATTGTTCCGCGGCAATAGTAGATAGAACGGTTCCAAAAACTAAACTGTAGCAGTTCTATAGTTCTCGCAAATACGCAAATTGACAAAATGTGTAGGCAAGAATGATGCTAATCCTAAACCTTGTATGACTGTAACTGACACTGACGCTGTCGTGTCACGAAAATAATACTGGTAGTAGTAGTACTATTATTCGGTCTATTTCTGTTCTGAAGCAGTGACGCGTTTCAATTTGAATGGTGGAACAGTTCCCGTGAAACATAATCATCAATATTTGCATCACAGTTTTCGACGCTCGCTCAGGTAACCACTCAAAGACAAATAGGCCGTGAGCAAGCCATCTAGTACAAAATGAAAATAAAACACATTGTAAATAACACTAATAAGATTTCGATTTTAAGATTATCTAAAAGGCTTATTGTACGCTTAAATTATAATTTGCGTAATTACAGGTGGTAGGACCTCTTATGAGTCCGCACGGGTAGGTACCACCACCCTGTTATTTCTGCCGTGAAGTAGTAATGCGTTTCGATTTGAAGGGCGGGACAGCTGTTGTAACTATACTGAGATCTTAGAACTCATATCATATATAAAAAAATAATAATAATTCCTCATATCAGGTCCACTCGGTGATAAATTCGCTCGCCTATGGGAGGAGGAGGTTGCCAAGGCTGGTAACAAACGGAAACCAAGCTTACTCCGCGTCATACTTAAGGCATACGCTGCTAGATGCATGCTCTACGGATTCATATTGTTGATCATGGAATGCGTGATAAAGTAAGTATTCGCACACACAAAAAAAAAACGTTTTATTAAACCTGTTCTAATAATTACTCTTCTTATCCTTGCGATTTCTAATCTGACAGCTTCGTTTTAGACTTAGCCAACGAAACTCATAAAAAATTATTGAATATTTCAAAGTAAACGTTATATATTTCGTGTTCAACGATTCCACCCGAAATTTTTCTCCGGAAAAAATACACCGAAACCCCCAATTATTTATCTTCACCAAACCTAACAACCTAACCTAACAAACCAACCGAACCTAACTAACCAACATAACAAACATAATTTATCTTAACCTAATCCTAGTTCCGTGCTAAAGCTATAGTAAGTCTAATAATCAGTGTGACTAACATAACGATATTAGAAGGCGATCGCGATATACACACAGCAGTATTGAAACTTGAAATTTCACTTTTTTTTTCTTACCTACGCTGATAGCCTTGAGAGGCTATTTCAGCTTCACCCTAACGTGTGTAGGTGAGCTCACGGGGCTCAAACCGGAAGTGTTGCTAACACTGGCCCTAGCAAGAGCAGTGCTTCGCAGAATCTACCACCGGATCGAAAACGCGACCCACTGAGAAGATCCGGCGAGAAACTCAGTGGGCTAATTTCACTAATACTACATAAACATATTAGAAATTGATAAGCTAATTAATTTAAAGGTTATTTTTAATGCTAAACGTTAGCCCCGATAAACGAAACCGATATTGGCATTTGCAAGATTATCATCCAAATAACTTTATTTAAATACGATTTCAATAATTTATAATTAAAATCGTATAATTTACAGTAACAGGTAATCCTTCTATAACACGGCATTATAGAACGCGGTTCCACTCTAACGCGAAAACAAAAAATCCACGAAACTCTCTTAAAGCAAAGTGCTAACTACTACAACACGATAACGAGATTTTTGTTGAATACACTATAATAATTAATACATATATGAGAATGCTGCTCACTGCTTATTTTTTATGTATAATATATACAAAATACATATATTCATAGTTCAAATGATTTATCCAGAAAAAAAAACTTGTTTTATACTGGCTTCTAGCCTTTTAACACGGTTTCGTACAAAAAGGGACTTTGTGGGAACGTATCTACCATATTATAGGAAGGTTACCTCTGTTGAATTGAACACATCGTTAACCAAAAATTGAAAATTAAATGTCAGAGAAGATTGACGCTTCGATAGAAAACTTAAAAATAGCTTTCGTACTTTATAATATCCTCAATTTACTTTTATGTAGAAAATAGAACATAAAAAATCAATTTCAATGCAGTTTTCTGTTATGTACTGAGATATAGCTCTTTATCTTTATGTTGTCCACATTAGTGTTTCTTGCATGGAAATCGGTTATCAAAAACTTATGTCAAATGGCAAACGCGTAGGTATAGATGTACCTAGTGAGAAATTATTTTCCTTCGGGAAAACTCTAGATTTTTATCGAAATGCGATGACACCCGAACTGTCAATGAAGGATCATATTAAATGAGTGACATTTTCATATCCATTAATATGGAACTTTATTGTTTAGTCACAAATGTCAAAATGAATTATGTCATTGTACTGAAGCTATTATTTATTTATTTATTTACTGAAGCTATTTGAGAGAGCACGATAAATACGAACTTTTCCGAAACATTACGAAGGAAAAGTTTTTCTTACTATATCTGTATATAAATTTTTATTGGTGAGGAAACACGCTCAACATTGCGGCATATTTTTCTTGTCTCCTTCAGTCGTGCTTATCATGTCGACGGTCGTGACCACCCCGTCCGTGAATTTCGTCTTCACGATTTTCCTTTACAAAGAAAGAATTTTATTCGAGTGCAATAAATTATAACTAGTGGTCGCTCAGTGGTCGAAATACGACCGTAATTAATTGAAATTATAAGTTTGAACATTATTATGGTTCTATTGTCAAAGACTTCTCTAATCCCCAATCTCCCAATCTCACGGATCGTTTGGAACCTCTGGGTCTGCGGAGGGACTTCGGTTCCCTCTGTATTTTGTACCGTATGTTCCATGGGGAGTGCTCTGAGGAATTGTTCGAGATGATACCGGCATCTCGTTTTTACCATCGCACCGCCCGCCACCGGAGTAGAATTCATCCGTACTACCTGGAGCCACTGCGGTCATCCACAGTGCGTTTCCAGAGATCTTTTTTGCCACGTACCATCCGACTATGGAATGAGCTCCCCTCCACGGTGTTTCCCGAGCGCTATGACATGTCCTTCTTCAAACGAGGCTTGTGGAGAGTATTAAGCGGTAGGCAGCGGCTTGGTTCTGCCCCTGGCATTGCTGAAGTCCATGGNTTCATCCGTACTACCTGGAGCCACTGCGGTCATCCACAGTGCGTTTCCAGAGATCTTTTTTGCCACGTACCATCCGACTATGGAATGAGCTCCCCTCCACGGTGTTTCCCGAGCGCTATGACATGTCCTTCTTCAAACGAGGCTTGTGGAGAGTATTAAGCGGTAGGCAGCGGCTTGGTTCTGCCCCTGGCATTGCTGAAGTCCATGGGCAACGGTAACCACTCACCATCAGGTGGGCCGTATGCTCGTAACAAGGGCAATAAAAAAAAATAAAAAATAATAATAAACACAAATTTCGCCAAGGCTACACTATAGAAATATAATACTAAAGACAAACAATATTAATCTATTCTCAATTTGATCACAGACTTTAACAATAAATAAAAGAGCAGATATGCGTGTTGTGTCAAATACATGGATAGGAGCTGAGCCGACGACGAGGTGCCACCATTGTGGACACGACCTGGACACGGGAAGTATATGCTCGCTGTCTGCCCCGGGAATCGCTGTCTGTTGGGAGGTGCAGCGCCGTGTCCTTGTCGCAAAGATAGGACCGGACTTGTCGCTGCTCGTCGTGGCGTCGATGCTTGGCAGCGACGAGTCTTGGAAGGCTATGCTCGACTTCTGCGAGTGCACCATCTCGCAGAAGGAGGCGGCAGGGCGAGTCAGGCAAAGCTCTCCTCACTACGCAGAAATCCGCCGCCGCCGAGCAGGGGGTCGGGACCGGTGTCCCGTCCGTAACCCGGCCCCCTAAGAGCTTCGGGCTCCACCCGCTTTGTGCGGGAAGGAGCCTAGGCGTGGGGCGGCGTGGTAGGCCGCGTTCCCCCGACCGCTCCGGGGGAAGGTGTAGCGCGGCGTAATTAATGTGGGCTCTTGGCCCGTCGACCGAGGGAACCGGCGGTCGCCGGTCCGGCATCTGGGGGACGGCGGCTGTGAGCTCCAGGAGTTTTTAGTGAGGTTCAACTCCCACATACCCCACCCGCCGGATGGGAATCAGGCGATTTTCTCCTGTGAAAAAAAAAGTGTGTGTAATGTTTTTTTATTCATTTAATGTATTTTTAAAGTAATTTAAAAAAAATATTAACATTCTGCACTCCTTCTCTATATTCCCTATAAGGTAATTTCTAAATGGAAGGGAATTTTCCAATTTTTATAAGGGAATATTCCCTATATTTCATACTCCTCCGTCCGCGCAATTTTCGTAAAAAGGGATACAAGTTTTTGTTTCACGTAAAGGAGAAACCCCCATTCTGGGCCTAAGCGTTACACGAATGGGATATGTACCAAAAATCGTCTATTTTGCTTGATTAACCTATTGAAATCTTAGCTTCATTGACAATGGCCAAGTGTAGAAAATAAATTGAATTCTATTTTTTGTTTTAAACGATCTTTGTAAACATCTGCAACACTTATTTCAATATACGTAACTAGCTCCACAAACGTGCGGATTAGAATTAGAGCATCCCTAAAATAGGATCGATTTAGTGGAAATCGAGTGTTAAAAATAATTAATACTCCTTTGTTTTAGGATAAAGGACTGTTTTTATAGGTATTTTAATCAATGTAAATACAGTATGGCCATCGAATCGTGACACAACTACTTACAATGGCAGCAATTCAAAATATCTACAACTGACAACATTAAATATAGCATGAAAAGGTAGTTTTGCATTTTTATATTAATGTGACTATACCATAGAAAAACACAAATGTATCAAATCATGTTATATTATCTTTAATGTTGCCAACTGAAGATATTTTGGATTGCTAGTTAGTTGTGCCATGATTCGCTGGCTAGAATATAAACTTAATCTCATTGAATAACGTAACGTAAAGCACCAAAATCTACTAACAAAAATCATTAAAAGAAATAAATAACTGTGCCATTTAGTTATGACACGAAATCATGTCGGCAACTGCGGCAATTCAAAATATTTTCAACTGGCAATCTTAAATATAACATGAAAAACCCGATTTGGTACTTTTGAGTTTTTCTATGGTGTAGTTACAATAATAATTTTACTGGTGGCAGGACCTCTTGTGAGTCCGCGCCGCCCGTCCGCCTATTTCTGCCATGAAGCAGTAATGCGTTTCGGTTTGAAGAGCGGGGCAGCCGTTGTAACTATACTGAGAACCTTAGAACTTATATCTCAAGGTGGGTGGCGCATTTACGTCGTAGATGTCTATGGGCTCCAGTAACCACTTAACACTAGGTGGGCTGTGAGCTCGTCCACCCATCTAAGCAATAAAAATAAAAAGGCATGATATAAAATGAGATATGATGATATGGGAGCACGTAATGATTTATATTTTATATAAAAAAGTTATCATATAAGTGAGTCGACTATTATCAAAGGCGGCAATCTGACTTTTGGACAATGATTGGTAAATCAGAAAAACGAATTATTGACTTTGTATTCCATTCGCAGTCACAAAACTCTTCGGAACGATATCTTAGATAAATAACAGGTTAACTATTAACCTTTATTTAATGCAGGTTTTGAACCATATTCTTTGAAGGAGACGATTATATTCAAATCAATCTGTATTGACATATCAATAAAAAACTTTTGTCCAAATGCACAGATTGCCACCTTTGATAATAGACGACTCAAGTATCGTTTTTCATATAAAAAAGTTTTCATTAAAATTAAAATAACACTGACCTA